AAATAGCTAAAACTAAAAACTACTTCCAGAAACATTCAGCTTTGATATTAATGAGTTTTTTGGGTTCATTGAGAACATGGTTGTTGTTCAATAATAAAATGATTCCTCAAAAATACAACTTGCCTAATAATTCTGCACTCCCTGTGTAAATGTATAAACAAATTAACTTCACAAAAACAACTAAACAACTTTCTCTCTTCCTTCTGCAGGTACTTCTAAGTTCTGGTAACTTTGCAAAGAAAGATGTGATGTTTGGTTTAAATAAGGATGAAGGGACATATTTTGCTGTTTATGCAGTCCCTGGATTTAATAACACCGGTCAGAGTCTCATCACTAGAAAGGAATTCTTGGCAGGAGTGACGCTTGCAATGGATACTGCGAGTGATGTCATGAGAGATGCAGCCATTTTCCATTACACGGATTGGACAGATGTGGACAACAGGGTGAAAAACCGTGACTCTGTATGTAGTCTTGTTGGAGATCAAATGTTCATTTGTCCAGTGCTCGACTTTGCTCACAGGTAATGAGTAATTCTTATTGATCATATTTTTTAGTCACAGTTAATAAACTCAAAAATGACTAATTAAAGTCTCAGAATTGTATTGATAGTTGTTTTTTAAGAACATACAGTAGCATGCTACATCAAACAAGGTGAGATTTGTTCAAGATACTATGGTGTAGTAGTATCTTACAGTAACAGCAGTAAAGCAATGAATACATTTAAATGTCAACTTAAAAAAAGGTGCTGCAATGGTGAGATTGTGTGTGAATATTTGTTATGAGACTTTTTCTGGTAAGCACAAGAAAAATGGTTATGGATATATCGGGAATGTTTTTCCATGTATTTTTCATCACTCCACTTTACAACATATGTGCTTCAAAAATCAATATTGGGGAAAATCAGGGTAATATTAAAACTGATTTCTTTTTCTTTTACGCAATGGTAAGAATAAGATCAAAGGTATCAATCCATATGCGCCAGGTCAGATAGCACACTGAAATAAAAAGGTGGTCACAGAAGAAGATAGATAAGACTGATGTCAAGACACAAAAACTCCACACAGTCCATGAAGGGTTCTGTTGGGTCTGTGTTTCCACAAGCCTCACTAATTCTAGAGACTTATTCATCATGAAGAAAAAAAGACAGTTGATTGATCAATCACTTGCGCAAGGGAGGCCTGTGTCCACCACGAAAATGACCTCGACGACGACCTCCCTTGCTGCCCTTTTTATTGAGACACAGTTCACACAAAACACGTCAGAACAAAGCCACGCCCACATGGTTCTAAGAAAAGGCATTGTATGTATATGTGTGAACTTCTGTATCTAAGTAAGAATATGTGTGTGTGTGTGTGTGTGTGTGTGTGTGTGCGTGTGTGTGTGTGTGTGTGTGTGTGAGTTCGCGTAACCTGTGTTATGGGTGTCAGTCAGGAAATTCCCACACAGG